TCCCACCCCCATCCCATCCCCCACCCCCAGTGACCTCACACTGCTGTAGGTACCACCCCCATCCCATCCCCCATTCCCAGTGACCTCACACTGCTGCAGGTACCGCCCCATCCCATCCCCCACCCCCAGTGACCTCACACTGCTGCAGGTACCACCCCATCCCATCCCCCACCCCCAGTGACCTCACACTGCTGCAGGTACCACCCCCATCCCATCCCCCACCCCCCAGTGACCTCACACTGCTGCAGGTACCACCCTTGTACCATCAACCCAGCCCTTGACTCTTGAATTTTGGTCCTGTTGCCCTGTGGGACACACACACACACAGAGGTGCAGACACACTTGCTTTGACTGCACCTTACGGGCACTTTCCTTCCCTGCCTCTCTGTGCTCCTGTAGCTCACCAGGAGGGTGAAGCTGACCCAGGCGGTCGGTCTCCTCCAGCTGACGTCTGCTCGTCGCCGAAGGAGGCCGTATCCCACCTGCAGCGTGGCTGGCTGGGGCCAGACTGGCTTGAACGTGAGAACCGACGTCCTTCAGGAGGCGGATCTGGTGGTGGTCAATGATGCGTTCTGCCAGCACCGATACCTTTACTACTTCCCCTCCAGCATGCTGTGCGTCGGGGACCCTGAGCACGATCAATCCATTTTTGTGGTAAGTGGTGGATTAGCTTGACCTTCTGGTGCCGCGTGTCCTTTCTCCACCGCGGCCTTGGACCCACCATGGATCTCAGGGGCGTGGGAAGGGCCCCGGAAACGGAGCCCTGTGAATGATCCAGCCCTAAACATCTGACCGTGGTAATGTACCGAGCTCCCATGCAACCAGTAGGGCCACGTTCAGAGGGTCAGCCCCTTGGTGTCTCCCCGCCTCTCCCTGCCTGATTCTCACGCCACAGCAGTGTGGAAAGCATGACCCAGACAAGCAGGTTTATTAAGAACATTAACACATAAGGGGCCAGACGGTGTCAGGCCAAAGGTCCATCCATCCCAGTGATCCATCCCCTGTCACCCACCTCCAGACAAACAGAGGCTGGGGACACCATTCCTACCCATCCTGGCTAATAGACTCATGTAGGGTAAGTCCATTAATGGCTATCTAGTTTCCTTTTAAACCTTTTTATATTCCTAGCCTTCACGGCCTCCTTAGGCGAGGAGTTCCGCAGATTGACTGTGCGCTCTGTGAAGGAGAACTTCCTTTGATTTGTTTTAAATCTGCCCATTCATTTCATTGGGTTCCCCCTAGTTCTTCTATTATGGGAATCACTTTTCCTTATTCACTTTTTCCAAACCACTCCTGGTTTTGTACACCTCTTTCATCTCCCCCCTTGGTCTCCTCTTTTCCAAGTTGAAAAGTCCCCGTCTCTTTAATCTCTCTTCATATGGGGCTCATTCCAAACCCTTAATCATTTCAGTTGCCCTTCTCGGAACCTTTTCCAATACCAAGATATCTTTTTGGAGCTGAGGTGACCACATCTGTACGCATTATTCCAGATGTGGGCATCCCATGGATTATATAAGGGCAATAAGATATTCTCCGTCTTTTTCTCAATCTCTTTTGAGGATTGAGAAAAATTGTAATAACTACCCATTGTCCATGAGGCCTTCTTCCCAGTCTATGGCTGATGTGCTCAGGTTTCGGTAATGCAGGGAACACTGGATACTTTGATCCTGTAGGTCCTGCATTGTAAAGAACACAGCTCCAGGGCTCAAGCTATGTGAAACATTCCTACCAGATGGAAGTCTCTTAGGGGTACTCAGATTAGTCTGTAGCTGCAAACACAAGTCCCTCTCACATTTTTTGTCCTGTGGGGGTTGAATTTCCTTCTGTACAACACCAACACGGAGGTTGTGTGTGGATGTGTTGGAAGAAAATATACTAAAACAAGACACCTGCGCGAATTCAGCCTCAGTTGGAGGACTGTGTCCAGTTCTGGGCACCGCATTTCAGGAAAGAGGTGGAGACATTGGAGACGATCCAGGGAAGAGCCACAAAATTGATGAACGGTCTAGAGAACAGGATCTAGGCGGGAGGACTGAAGGAACTGGGCTTGTTTAGGTTGGAAATGAGAAGACTGAGAGGAGACATCATAGCAGCTTTCAAGTATCTAAAAAGGTTTCACAAGGAGGAGGGAGAGAAATTGTTCTCCTTGGCCTCTGAGGACAGGACAAGAAGCAATGGGCTTAAACTGCAGCAAGGGAGGTTTAGGTTGGACATTACGAGAAACTTCCTACCCATCAGGGTGGTTAAGCACTAGAATAAATTGCCTAAGGGGTGTGTGGAATCTCCCTCTCTGGAGATATTTAAGATCAGGTTAGAAAGAAACCTGTTAGTGATGATCTAGACAGTGCTTGGTCCTGCTGTGAGGGTAGAGGACCACACCGGATGACCTCTTGAGGTTCCTTCCAATTCGAGTGGTCTAAGACTCTATGATTCTACCTCTGTCTAGTTGCAGTGAGATGCCCTTAGAGACTGTAACGTTGGTGTGTAAAGGCAGGCAATGAACCGTCTTCCGCTGGAGGAAGAGTAGACGCCCCAAAGCACAAACACACACAGGCTGTGTCTAGACTGGCAAGTTTTTCCGCAAAATCATCTGCTTTTGTGGAAAAACTTGCCAGCTGTCTACACTGGCCGCTTGAATTTCCGCTAAAGCACTGACGAGCTCATGTAAGATTGTCAGTGCTTTTGCAGAAAAACTATGCTGCTCCCGTTCGGGCAAAAGTCTTTTGCCAAAAGACTTTTGTGCAAAAGGGCCAGTGTAGACAGCTCAGATTTGTTTTCCGCAAAAAAAGCCCCCATCGCGAAAATGGAGATCGGGGCTTTTTTGCGGAAAAGCATCCTGCCAATCTAGATGCTCTTTTCCAAAAATGCTTTTAACAGAAAACTTTTCAGTTAAAAGCATTTCCGGAAAATCATGCCAGTGTAGACGTAGCCACAGGGGTTGTAGACAGATGCGTGTTTCAAAGAGCTTGCACAGAAGGTTTCATCCTACACAACAGTTAGTACCACACCTAGCACTTGCTACTTCTGACTCCTCAAAGCCAGAACTCTGCCACATTGCAAAAGCTGGGACCTCTGCCAGATTGCCATAATCTGGCCTCAATGCCATGCAATTCATCGTGTATGAATTAGTAACTCGGGATTTTAAAAAATCATTACGGGGGAGTCTAGACTAAGTTCTATTTTCGAAAGGGGATATGCAAATTCCATGGGAGTTTGCATGTTTTCTTCCGAT